CGTATAGTCCCTATTAAACATGAGACTTTATTAAAGTTTTTTAGGAGTTTCTTTCTTTTATTCTTTTTTTCTATATTTTCTTTTATTATTTTTCTAATACCCTTTTCTTTCTTTCTTTTTTATTTGTCGGTGGAAAATAGCCATCAATTCCTAAAAATTCAAAGAATTGATAATTATCCACCTATTGATCACTTAATCTAATTACTAAAATAAAAAATCTACAATTATAGTAATTTAAAAAATTAAAGGAAACCCAAACATTAAAGTTGAAATTAAACATAAAATAAAAAACATATATAAAATAAACTCAATATTAAATGAAATAAACTAAGGGTTTTTTTTTTATCTTTTTCTTCCTTTTTTGGGTTAGTAGGCCTTCGGCCCATTGGGCCGAGTCTACTAAATTGTGCATGGCTTCCTTTCTTCTCTCTCGTTTTTTTTTTAGACTAAATTGGGTTGGGATCAGCCCAACACAAATTCTCTCTCTCTCTCTCTCTCTCTCTCTCTCTCTCTCTCTCTAACTGGTCGGACTGGACTGGGATCATCTAACCCGACTTGGCATGGGTTGGGCTTAGCCTATCCCGTGGCGCCCTAGCTCACTTGCTAATTACTTAAAAGGTTTGATCTGGATGCACCACAGTTTAGAGATCAAAGTTTTAAATTTAATCCCATACACATACACAAGTGCTCGAATATCATTACAAAAGTTACAAAATATAATTTACAATCAAAAGTAAATCTTATAATTGTAGTGTCACACATTACCCTTTTTTCTAGGAGGAACCGACGACTTCATTATCGATATCGGTATCACCTTTATCCGTCATGGCATGAAATAAACATAGAGTGAGCCGAAGCTCGGTAAGTATGGTGATGTACATGATATACACCGATTTTCCGACTTCTCCCACTTTGACTCATCCAATTTTAATTTCGGGTACCCCGGATATTAGCGAGGTTTACTCTATTTTTAATCCGGATGATGAAAGATTCACCTTCTACTAACAATGAATTTATCCCTCCTTGTAGCCACTCGTTAGTGGGAGTCCATCGTCTAATAGTGCAAGCACACAGGCTTAGAGTAGTCTACTCTATTTTTAATCCGAGTAATGATCGATTCACCTTCTGCTAACAATGAAATTATCTCTCTTTGTATCCACTATTAGTGGGAATCCATCTTCTAACAGTGCGAGCACACGAGCTTAGAGTGCGCATGTAGTTGGACCACTAATACCCTTTTTATCCAAGTAGGTTACCAAACCTATCCAATTTCTATCGATTCGGTTACTAAACCTCATAGTTTTCAACTCAATGGTTTTCTCAATTTAATCCATTCCCCATATGCATATGATGCACGTGATGTATCATGAACCACATTCCACCATGTCATGGGTACTAAACTCGTCGATTCCATACCATTGAGTTCACACATGGAATTCAAGACACTGTCTAATAGGGTTAATTTATTTCATGTGTCATGAGCCACATTTCATATCTCATAGGCACCAAACTATTTATGTCCATACCATTTTAGAAATTCAATCCACACTTGGGAATTCACCAATATTTTCGTAGTAGTTTCATACAAAATACATAACCCATCCATTAGGTTTACTTAAGTCCCATATTTTGGTCCTAGCTTTAATGACATTTAATTTGAGCCTTAATAGTCGACTTATAATTTTAGTGGATCCAAGTCTTAATTTCTATTTTTCTTGAATTCTCTTCTTCGATACTTCATTTTATCTCTCTTAGGATGCAATTAAACTTTTACTCCCGAATTTGGGTCGTGGGAACTTAATTTCGAAAAGTAGGGTGTAAGCTCGAGTGTTTCTTAGTAAAAACTAAAATTTTCATTTTTCTTAGGATCTAAACTTTTTACATTTTATTTTACACTTATTTAGATATATTTAAATCATTGATTCATAATTTGATCGAATGATATTCAAAACCCGAATCTAAGGTTTTTGGCCGAATGGGTTAATTATAGGTAAAGGTTTGCCTTTTGTTCCTAAATCCTTTCTTTCAATCTTAATGTACTAAATTCTACTTAAGTGAATTACCTTGGAAGTCTAGATCTTTAGATCCATAAACATAATCCAACTTGGACATTTTAGTACCAAGGCCCAATAAGTGTTCTTAGGATATCCAAGCTCATCTTGTTTTAATCCAAGCCCATCTTGTTTTAAACCAAGTCCATTTGATTTAATCCAAGTTCTTTTGTTTTAATCCAAGTCCCATTTTATTTTAATACAAGCCCATCTTATTTTAATTCAAGTCCATTTATTTTAGTCCAAGTCCCACTTTATTTTAATCCAAGCCCATCTTGTTTTAATTCAAGTCCATTTTATTTTAACCCAAACTCATTTTGTTTTAATCCAAGCCCATCTAGTTTTCAGTCCAAGTTCCATGGTTTTAATCCAAGTCTAATTATTTTAATCCAAGTTCATTTATCCTAGTCCAAGCCCATTTTGTCTTAATCCAAACCCATCCACACATACATCTTCCAACCCATATGATTGTCATCAAACCAAACCCATTCACACATGCATAAACATCCATCACATATGGATCTCGAAGGATACATCAACTTGCTACCCATCCATCACCATACTTGTACATCACAACACAAAATCCACTATGAAATTCACATCAAAACAACCATATGAGATCAATCACAACACCAAAACATACATCATCACAAGACCATCATAATAACATATTACATGGCTTAAAACAAAAAGTCATAAATCAAACATGTAAAAGAGAACTTAAAGCATAAATAAAACTAAAATGAAACCAAAAGAAACATATTTACAATGATATAAGCTTGCTCAAGATTCCTAGATTTTTTTCTTCTTTTTTCTCCTTTCTTTCTTTCCTTCCTTTTTTTCCTTTCTTTTCTCTCTTTCTTTCCCTCAAAAAGCCATCTCTCTCGCTCTCACTATGAAAGCTACGATTTTGCAAAGAAAATGGCAAAGTTTTAAGCTTTCCTTCCATTTTTATATCACACTTTTTTCCCTTCATTTATTAACCTTCCAAGTGTCAAAATTTTATGGTAAATAAAGTCAAATGATTGGACAAAAAGGAAGAACAAGTTGACCATTTAAAAATCTAAGTGAGTTAGGTGTCACACTTTTAGAAAAAGTGGTAGGTTTGGTGTCAAATCAAGTAATAAATATGGGAACTAAAAAGGTAACTAAACTAACTAAGCTAACCAACTTTCGTACCTCATTTGGTTCCTAAAATTTGGCCATGCACCTTGTTTAGATAATTCTTTTACTTGTATGATCATTTTAAATATAACATTATGAAAAAATAAATAATGGCTAATTAAATTCCCAAAAAGAGTATTTCTATGAATATTTCCATAAACCTTAAATATTTTCACACCACAAATATAAAAAAAAATGACATATAATTTATACTCACATAATTATAGATATTTTAAGAGATATTTTGGCTCGAGAATTAAAATTACGACGTGCCAAAATTTTATTTTATTTTTTATTATTTTTTTAATCCTATAACTCCTCACATAAACATAAGACATTTTACTATCTTCAAATATTAATGGCACTTAAAACTTTCTATATATACGGATATAATATATCGAGCATGCATATTTACGATAAACAAGTTCATGAGAGTTACACATCCCATGTCCATTTCAATTTGACCCAAAACAAAAACACCTATCATTTCTTTTCTTTTTTCTAAAATTTTGATCAAACTCTCTTCCTCTCCTTTCTCTTTTCTTCTCCTATTTCTCTCTACCCCATCTTTATGAACAAAATAAAGGTTTTTGGTTTGTCCCTCTATTTCTCGCTCTTTTAGCAAAACTCTATCCTCCTTCTTCTTTTCCTTACTCTCTCTTCTTCTCCTCCTTCTTTCTCTATTCCTTTTTTTTCTTTCACTCGAACCGAGCCGTAGATTTTATTCTCTAGCTCGTTCTTCCTTTAATCTTTCCCTAGAAAACCATCATCCCTTTCTCTCTATTGATTCCTCATCTAAGTTAAAACCCTAATTCATCCTTTGCCCTAAATTTCAATTTTTTTCAATTTTCCCTTAATTAGCCTTAGTTGGCTTGATTTCTCTTGAGATCAAGTAATTTTCAACCCAAATAAGTCTTTTTAAAAAAAAAAAACCAATTTTTTGTTGATTTAGAAACCCGAAACCCTAGGTTTGTTCTAGCTCAAACCGACCTTCAATTTAGGGTTTAAATCCTAAATTAAAACCCCAATTAACATCAATTAGCCTTCCTTTCAATCCCTTAACCCCGAATTTCAATCCAAATACAAAAACCCTAAATTTCTAAACCCTAACCGTCCGAAAATCCCAAAAAAAAAATTAATTTTTGAATTCAAACCCAAATTGATATGGGTTTGAATTCAATTTAAACTTCTAATTGAGTGAAAAGCAAACAAATGTGTGTGTATGATTGAGGGGGAAATTCGGGGATGACAATGATGAATATCACTACCATCAATCCTCTAGAAAAAAAAAAAGAATTTACATTAGGATGAATTAGGAGTGGATTACCTTAAGGATAGTTTGGATAGAGGATGAAGAAAATCCCCCGATGGATAACTACTACTCTAGTAAAATTGGGTAAAACCCTCTCCTTTCTAATGGCGATGATGAACATCACTACTAACCCCTTTGATTTTGTGTTTGTTGCTATTTATATATGTCCATTGTTTGGTTCCCCACCATTGGTTGTGTGGGATTTTTCTTTACAAGTATGGTGTAGGGTGGCTGGGCAGTTTTGGAAGGTATAGGGTGGCTTGTAGGGATTAAGATGGAGTATGGGACAAGTTGACATGATGGCAAGTATAGTGTAGGGTGGCGGGTAGGATGGTGGGGGAAGAATTTGATAGCAAGGGTGATCCTGCTTTGTTACAGGATTCAAGATGGTTTAGGCTAGATAGGATGTACATAGGGGACTATCCAGGATAGCTTGGAGTAGGGGACGGCTAGTTGTTATAGGGGGCGGAAAAATGGAGGGTGTATGGTTGTGTCTAGGGGATAATTTGGGGGCTGCAAGAGTTGTTGCAAAGGAGATGGCAGGTTGCTGCTGGGTAGCTTGCAGTAGGGGTGGAAAATTGGAGGCACACCAAGGTTGTGGTTTGTCCAGTAGGTTGCAGGACAAGTTGAGGTGATGGAGTTTATCCTGGGGTAATTCAGAGCAAGTCGTAATGTAGTGGAGGTTGTTTAGAATAGCTTAGGAAAATTGCACAGAACTTAGGAAATTGTCCCTCCACCTCGGTTCCTTTTTTTTTTTTTTAGAACTTCGATTTTTTTTGGTCTAATTTTTTAGTTAATTTTTTAAAAAAATAAAATAACATGAACTAAGATAAAAATAAAATAAAATAAAATAAAAGAAGAAAAGTGAAAATGGATAATAAAAAAATAAAAGAAAATTTTGGGATATGATAGTTAAAATTTGGGATATGAGAGTGAATATAAAAGAAAAGTGGAACAAATTGAAGAACTTGTTGTATGTAATCGTTGACAGACTTATGCTAGTATTTATAGAAGTAAAGAGATGAAAAGACCTGTCTCTAGATGTCTTGATAAGCATGTCACTTGATTAAAAGGCACAAGAATTCTAACGTTAACAAACTGCCAATGTCTTAACTGTCAAAAATAAATAAATAAATAAACATATGCCTAACGGTTCTAGACATTCATAATTCAGAAATTTTATTTTGTTTTTTGAAAATAATACAACGATGGTAACCCATCAGGCCTGTCCCAAGCAATGGCTCAATCTCATTATGTACTCTGACAGGTTATTTGCTCCTAATAACTGATAGGAACTGGATTTTTATTAATTAGTAGGGATTTATTTATGAGTCTAATCATTTTTCTATTTACAGCTTTATGAATAATTATCGTTAAGTATTAATTATGTATGTGCAGACTTTGGAGGCTTTCATGTCAAGTAGGCCCCTTCCATTATGTACCTGCAGACCTTGGAGGCTTTCTAAGGATACCAATTTTAAATCCGTTAAAGATGACAGCAGCAGCACCACCTTCTCCTCATGGCTTACTTGGTCAACCTCACCCAATTCAAATACCTCTTCCAATGCAAAGCACTTATAAAGTATCACTCTCCTTGGATTTTTCAAAGCTCGTGGCAATTTTACTGGAAACAGAGTACAAATATCCCCACAATAGCTAACCATTACAAATTGGAACCCCTATAAGAACCTCTGCTGCTCATGCATGGTCATCTGATCAAGGGACCACAACATATTTTTTAAGCCTTCCACACCCTTCAAATAAAATTGAGATACCCTAGGGAACAATGCTCAAATGTCTTTGCATTTAGGGATGTGGCACTGATAGAATCAAAAGCCAAAATTGTCGAGGTTTGACACCTTGAACATTGTCGTTACCCGACGTCGGACGGGACTTCCGAAACATATCTAAAAAAGATCTCTAGTTTAAAATGTATTTTTATTTATAAAATTATTTACAGAGTTAGGAGTCATCACCTAGTATAAATGGAACTAGGAACCTAAAATTGGCACTAGTTCAAAGATTCTACGAGTAAGAAGTTGGTTACGCTTATGGGAAGATAATTAATCACCCAAAAGCGTCCTTTCCTAAGAAAGGTACCACGTCTAGCTTAGTCCTAAATTATCTCCTAAAGTATTTTAATTTTGCCAAATTATTTTTCAATTTTTGAGACTCCAATATTCCAAGTCAAATTAAGTTTTTTATTTTTGAGCGTGACGTCGTATTGAAACGATCGTCGGACCCCTTCCGTCGAGAGACACGTCGGCTCAAACATCGGATCTACTTTTTGAGTCTCGACACAACCGATGTGTCTAAGAACACTTTTTTATTAAAATTTTTTTATATATATACTAACAACAGTCTTTATCGGATAGGAGACTTTGGTAGGAGTTTTATGATTTTTTATTATTATTATTTTCTATTTTTTATTTTTTTCTCTTTTTCTATTATTTTTTATTTGGTAGAAAACCGTCATCGGTCCCTAAAAATTAGGAGACTTGACAATTCTCCACTTATTAGTTACCGAATCTAATTACTAAACAAGTAAATTAAAAGTTACACTAATTCAATAAAAAAAATTCAAATACCGAAATTTAAATTAATAATATGTATAAAATAAATTCAAAATTAAATTTACATTAATTAAAATAATTACATTAATTAAAATATTAAATTCTAAGTTAACATAAACTAACAAACATGTATAAAATAAACTTAAAATTAAAATTTAACTAAAAAAATTAATTCAACATATAAATAAAAAAAATAACAAACATACATAAATTTGAATTTTAAAACTAAGAAACACATATGTTTTTTTTTTTTTTACTTTTTTTTTAAAGAATTCGGGTTGGATCTGGACCTTTTTTTTTTTTTTTTGGGACCGGGTAGCCCACTTACACATGGGTTAGGCTATCCCTAACCCACACTTCTTAAGCTAAAATTACCTTATTTTTCTCCTCTTTCTTTTTCTCATTTTTCCTCTTTCTTTTCTTTTTCTTTTTCTTCTTCTTCCTCTCGCTCCAACTACCTTCATGGACGAACCAAACCGGTTCACCCCTCCTTCTCTTCCTTTCCTCTTTCTTTTCTTTCCCATTCTCCCTTTCTTCTTTTCTTCCCTTTCTCTTTTCTCTCTCTTTCCCTTTCCCTCCTTCGTCTCTTTCTCTCCAATTGTCGAAGCCGCCATGGACGAACCGGTAGAGGTTCGTCCATGGCCGACCACCTAATTTTCTTCCCTCCCTTCCTTCCTATTTCCCTTCCTTTCCTCTAGATTGAAAAACCCCCAATCAATTTCAAAAAATCCCCAATTTTGGTCGAACCCTAGGTTGGATTTTTCTTTGATTTTCATTCAATTACACTTAATTGACTTGATTTCTCTTGAGATCAAGTCAATTTAAACCCTTTAGGACTCAATTTTATTAAAACCCCCAAATTAATTTTTTTTATTTTTGCCTAAAAATCTCGAGAACCCTAGGTTTCAATTGGTGTCAATTGAGCTTCCATTTCGAGTTTAAACCTCAAATTGAACTCAATTAGCCCTAATTTTAACCCCTAAGATCAATTTTTAACCAAACAACAAAACCCCAAAAAATTCAAAAATTGAAATTAAATTTTGAAAATTAAAGAGAAATTACTTTACCTAGGCGAAATTGATTCCGGAAGGACGATGTGATTTAGCTTCTCCAACAGGTAAACTCACCCTCTCCTTTTCGATTTTTTTTTTTTTTTGCTCCTCGCCCAATTTTTCTTTTTTTGGTATTGTCGATTTTTTTTTAAAAAAAATTTTAGGCCTCCCCCCTTTTTTTTTATTTGTGAATTGTACATATGTGTGTGTGTGTGTGTGTGTATGTCCATGAATGTCTGTGTTGGTTCCCCCATTATAATTATTGGGGATTTTCTCGTGAGTTTTTCAAGTGGGGGTTGGATGGGATTGGTTTTGTGTCCTGCGCGTGGGTGGCTATGCAAGGTGGTTGTGCTTGGAATTGTGGGCTAGGGCGATGAAGGTGGTGCCTGCAGGAGTTGCGGTAGTAAGTTGGTGGAGACCGATTTGGGTGATGAGGAAGCCTGCCGGGATTTACAACGAATAGGGGTGGCTAGCTTGATTTTGTTGATCGGATGAGAGATTGTGATATAGGGACAAGTTAATGCCGAGGGTGAGATTATGGGCCTGCGGGGTGGCTACAACGGAGGGGTGCCGAGATTGTGGACTTGGGAGGACTTGGGCGCCTACAAGTTGAGGAATAATAGTTACTGCTGGAAATTGGGAGTTGAAGCCGAGAACCAAACGGGTTCCCAATGGAAGAGAATTACGAGTAACTAGAAAACCAAAACCGGTTCCAAGGGAAGTAGGATGACCAAGAGCCTAGAAACTAGTTCTGGCGGGAGTGGGCAACTGGTCGCCCATTCCTCTACAAACTTTGTAATTTTTTCTTCTTTTAATTTTTTATAATTTTTGTATTTTAGTCCTTGTAAATTATTATTAGGTCAACTTGGTCCTTCTCTAATGTAATTTGACCCCCGAACTTTGAATGATTCGATCCCCAATTACTCGTAATTATTTTGAATTTAATGCAATTGCGTCCCCGAATGTTCAATTTAAATATTTTTTGTATTTTTTTTTTTGTTTTTTACAAATTTCTAAGTAAAATGAAATAAATAAAATAAAAACACTAATTAAGATAAGAAAATGAAAAAACTTAAAATGAAATCAAAGAAAACAAATAATCAACTAAAAATAAAAATAAAAGCCCGAAATTTTAGTTGTGACAATTGCCTCCTCTTTGCAATGCTTACGATGTAAACGTTAACCGAAATGTGAATTTCGGGTTGAGTTTATTTAGTGAGCTTACAAAAAAGAAGATATGAGAAAAATAAATTAAACTTTACTAAAATGACCTAGTCGAGGATGGAATGTCATCCAGGAATACAATGACTTATGAAAACAAAGTGCAATAGCTTTGTTGTTAAGGATAGCCAACCTCGAAAATTAAACATGCGATACATGGCTTTGTTATCAAATTGTAATCGCCTTGAAAATTAAACATGAAATACAAGATAATTAACCATGTAGTACTCAAAAACTTAAATATGCAATACACGGCCAATTTGAAGGGTGGCCAATCCCGAAAAATTAAATATGCAATACGTAACCAACTTGAAAAGCGACCAACCTTGAAAAATTAAATATGCATTACACGGTCAACTTGGAGGGCGACCAATCCTAAAAAATTAAATATGCGATACATGGCCAACTTGGAGCGCGGCTAGCCCCGAAAAATTAAATATGCATTACACGATCAACTTAGAGGGTGACCAACCCCGAAAAATTAAATATGCAAGTACACGACTAACTTAGAGAGCGGCCATCCCCGAAAAATTAAATATGCATTACACGGTCAACTTGGAGGGTGACCAACCCTAAAAATTAAATATGCGAGTACACGACTAACTTGGAGGGCGACCATCCCCGAAAAATTAAATATGCATTACATGGTCAACTTGGAGGGAAACTAACGCTGAAAAATTAAATATGCGATACATGGCCAACTTGGAGGGCGACCGATCTCGAAAAATTAAATATGTATTACATGGTCAACTTGGAAGGCGACCAACCCCGAAAAATTAAATATGCGAGTATACGACCAACTTAGAGGGCGGCCAACCCTAAAAATTAAATATGCATTAACTCGTTAGCCAATTTTACCTATCGTGATGACTTGAGTTGATTGACCTTACTCGAAGTGGAACCGGTCATTTGACGTTAGGTTCATTTGACCTTAGGACTTGTCACGGCGTTTAGACGGTGGTACGTTATGAGGCAACCATGCCCGAAAGGATTTGAGAGAAATTTTGAATTTTCGTGTCCTTGGTAGTTCATTACTTAGGACTTGTCACGGCTTTGTTCTTTTTCCTTAGGGTGCGGTGTACCTATTGAATTTTTCGTGTCCTTGGTGGTTCGTTACTTAGGACTTGTCACGGCTTTTCTTCTTTTTCCTTAGGGTTATAGTGTACACGAAACAAAACTTAACATAATGATTAGTCGGGGTACCTAGAAGATGCATAGGCCGTTCGACTCAAATCCCCCTTTTAACTATTCTTTGTTAGCTATTTAAGTTTTTGAAGCTTGTCGGTTATCCATCATCCGAGCCTTATGACCTTGCCTCCCGATCTTGTCTTATCTTCCTTGTGAACTTGGCCTCATCCACTATTCTCGTTACTTATAGGATAAATTGACCATTTGTGTCTTATCGACGATTGTGGCCATTCCTTAGTACGATCACTTGTCGAACGATTGCTCACATTCAATAATGCTATGCTAGGTTCATTTCTTTGCTTCGGTGTCTTTCTTGGTAACATGAGATACCATATACCTATCGAAGTGTCCGACAAGTTTGCAATTCATGAATTTCTTCCTTCATGGAGAAAGCTATGTAGATTTCATTCGGAGATTTTGATTTCAAGGTTCGAACAAAAATCCATCAACTCTCGTGGACTTGTCATACAAATGTTACAGATACGGCTAGTGTGGCTTTGGTATTTATGATATTTAAACGAGTGATCAAATTACGAGTTTGATGGTAGAAAATATTGCTTGCCCCCAAGGATTGTCCTTTGGCACCAACCATGATTTCAAAAAGCTTATGCTTCAATTTTGGCTAT